CGGCACATCGACGCCGGCCTGGCCATAATGGCCACGATGGACGGGCCGGAGGTGTACAGGGTCAGGGCGATAAGCCGGCGCCTCAGACGGCTCCTACGGGACCCCCCGGGTAACGATAATACCCATATAAAAGAACAGATTATGCTGGACCTGGCTGCCCACGCGGGCTGGCACCAGGAGGTCCTGTGCGCGTTGGAGTGGGTGAAGCTCGCCCTGTAGGCGGTCACGCGGCGGAAGGTTGGGAGCTGTTGATGAAAGGGAGACAATGGTCGAGTCGGTTGACTGTTTTGATTAGTAGTTAGGTATGGAGCGCAATATACCCAGTTTTCCCCAATACGTAATACACGGTACGGCCCCGGCGGATTGCTCCGTCGGGGGGAAAACTAATTTTATATTGTACGCACCTATAAATAGTAATAATTAAAATTAGTACTCCGAAATTATTTTATCCGTATTATAATAGCTTATTACTCTTTATAAAGTATGACTCTACGGGTTATTTACTTATTTATCCGAGTTAAATAAGGAGCATAACTTAGGAGGAAATATATTCTTATATTCCTATAAATCGCCTCTATCTTTAAAAACATTATCTCGCGCATTACTATCGTATCGGGCATTAGATCTATTACTAACCATACTAATATCACTAATAATAATAACGTATATTAGCTATATATCCTTAACCCTACCCTAACTAAAAATAATACTACACATAAACTATATAAAGCTATCTATACTACTAGTCTAACTAATTTTAAGCACCGCATCGTAAGTATTTATAAACAAAAAGTATTTTTAAAAAGTAATAAATAAAAAAGCGATATTATAAATAAAATTATTAAAATCTTAGCGGCGCTCTTCGTATTTCGTAATAAAAAGTTCCTCAAAGTATTTACAATTCTTAGCGTATTTTATAATAATAATAATATTAGCAAAATAGGCATCCTTATTAAAGAGTAAGATTACGATCGTATTAAACCGCTATTAGTAATTACCTTATATTATCTTTAAATTATAAAAATCCGGCTTAGCTATTTGTTTCTAAGCCTTATTTTTCTTATATATCATTTTTAGTAACTAAAAAGCGGGTATTTTATAATTCTCTCTTAAGTATTAATAGTAATCGAATCGTTAATTAAGTAGTCGGGTCCGTTAGGTATACGGGTAGATAATAAAAGTAAATATTAATATATAAAGTTCGATACGTATATTTATATAAAAAGTAAATATATAGAAAGAGAGGATACTACGGTAAGATAAATAGCTAGCTTAGAAGTTAGGTAGTAAAAAAGGTCCTATTTTTAAAATTAGGGGCTTCTTAATAAATAATATAGTTAAATTATTAACTAGCCTTAGCACTAATTATAACCTATTTAACGAGCAAAAGCGCGCTCTTTTTAAATATAAGCGCTAAACTAATACTACCTATCTCCGGTTTAATATATAAGTATAAGTACTTTACTAAATATTTCCTTAATAAAGTCTCGATAATTACTTAAAATACCCTACCTTAGTCCGTATTAGAGCCGTAAAAGACCCCCGAAGCTATACTACCTTACCTACTCGCCTTTATTATTAAAATAAGTTCTAATCGTAATAAATTAACTTAAGCTTTTAGTAACTCTATCGATCTATAGCAGCATATAAACTAGGTTAAAATAAAATACTAAAAAAATAGCTAATTAGCTAGGTAAAGTAAAACTAGCACAGTAACGAGAGTAATAATATTACTAACTCCTAGTAGTTTTAAGCTTACCGAAATTATTAAAGCTTTTTCTAACGCATCCCTCGCCTCGTTACTTAATACTTATCTCATTTTCGCTTACTACTACTAACTACGCAACACTAACTCTATTATAATTCCTTTACTACATAAAATTAATAAGTAAAATATAGTTAGTATAATATAGCATACGTAAAACGTAAACTTTACTCTATACGTTCTTTTTAACGACCCTCCTTACGATCCAAGACTTACGTAGTTTATACCTTTATAAGTTTAATATAATATTTACTACGATCCTACTAATAACGACTACGTTCTAATTAATAAATCGTATATAAATTTCTATTTTACTAACTTATATTCTCTAACGAGCCGCCGTCGTCTATTATATAACTAGACCGAAGTAATTAAGCCCGGTATATAAAAAATTTTAGTAAAGTTTAAGAACCTTATAGCTAAGTAACATATTACCAATTTCTTAATATAGCGGAGGTAATTTACTATTACTTTATATAAAAGCCTACCTAGCTATTTAGTTTTTACTAAGCGCCTTATATTTAATAAAAAGTAAAAAGCTAGTAAGTGACGAAGACGAGAGGGGGGAGAAATAAAAGTCGTTCTAACTACGGCTATAAATATAATATATAAATTAACTAACGCTACCGTTATTAATAGTACTAAATACCTTAGTCTTACTATTCTAACTTTACAAAAAATTACTTAAATAGGTAGTATACTACTTTTTAACTTTTTAAATAGAAAAGTTACCGTTATCCGTTCTAAGTAAGTTAAGGATAACGAGGTTAGTTATTTACCTCTAAATAGAGGGGCTAGCGGGGTTTTTAAATATAGCAATTAGCCCACTTATAGACTTTATTGGCTTAAATAAATTACTAATACGCTATTAACTAGTCTCTTTACTAACCGCTACTTAGTATTATTAAAAAAAGTTATAATAAAAGTAATTAAGTATAAAAGTAAGATATTTAAAAACCTAATAAAATACGTATTAATTTAAAAATAAAAAAAATTATTTCTAAAAAAGCTATATTACGTATATTTTTACCCCGAAAATAACTAATATATTAGTCCTTTACTAAAAACGAATAGCTAAATATAGTTACCCTAAAGGCCTTTAATAGCCGCGTCTTTATTATACTTATTAAGTAGCTTCCCCCGTCCCTCTACTACGGGTTTATTTCACTATTTAAAGCTAATAATAAATAAAAAATACTCTATAGTATATTATCTGCCCTTACCTACCTTATAAACTAGTAAGTCGTTTATAATAATATTAAACTAATTAATATTACCTATTTACCTAAACGTAGTACTATTCTTCTTAATTTTAAACTAATTACGATAATAAATAAAAAAGAGCTACTTAATAATACCCCTTAATATATCCTACCTAACTTTATTATATAATAAATATAAAGGACCCCGGGTAACGTATAAGCCTTAGGTATTATAATACTTTATATACTAAAAAAGATTACTTTTTTAAAAAGAACCATAAGAAGTTAGCTTATTTATAATATAACAAATTAATATAAAAAAGCTTATAAGCGCTTATTAAGCTAGCTTAATAACGTCGCTAGTACTAAGGTTAAGTTAAATCGGTTTAATATAATAAAAAAAACTATTTTTAAAATACTAAAACCCAGAATCGATTCTAAACTCTATACTTTACAAATCGTAGCTAGTATTAAAAATTTAAAAAAAACCTTAAATATTAAATTTTACTCCTTAAACTTATAACCGCACTTAGTTAAAAATAAAGGAAAACTATTTAAAATAAAAGATCTTATAAAAAAAAAAGCTTAATAAACAACGTCTAACTAGCTAGCTTCTTTAATATATTTAAGGGGCTATATATAACTAAGTAGTTTTGATTATTATAATTAGCTATACTATTTTTTAACTTTACGAGTTCTATTTATTACTAAAACTTAGTCTTAAACTAATAAATATTAGAGCTAAGATCTCTTCTTAATTTATAGTCTTTAATAACGTTTATAAAACTAAATAGTCCTCTAGGCTTTTTTTTTAAACTTAGTTTTATAACCTTATTACGTAAAAGTTTTTATAAAAGTACTTTATATATACTCTACTTAAATAAGTACAACCTTTATATAGTTATTAGTATGCTTATTACTTATATAAAAAACTACTTTGGTATACTTACTTATATAAAATACTGCTTAAATAAAGCTACTTATGTATAAATACGCTTAAATAGAGCCGCCTATGTAAAAATACGCTTAAGCATATATAAAAGTCCGCTTAAGTAGGCTTTTAGTTTAAATAATATAACTTAAATAAAAAAAGCTACGTACTAATTAATATTAATTTTAAAAATATAATTTGTAATAAAACTAAGAACGGAGAGCGATAAGAATAAGTACGGAAGAAAATATAATAGTTATTTAATAAAAGTATATACTGGGAACTAGCCTATTTTATTTACCTTTTTCTTAGCCTCTTTTCTTATTTAATTATAATTTTTTAATATTAAAAAATAGCCTGCTCGCTTCTATTTAGTTTTCTAATAATCTACGACTACTCCTTTTTTTCTTAAATCTATACGTAAAAACGTAGTTTATCTAAGTATATTTAACGTAAATACTTAGTTATTCTAGCCCTTTTTTTAAAAATATTTAGGCTAATGCTAAAATCGGAACTACTACTTTTACTTTCGCTTTTACTAGCGCCCTCGCTATTATTATTTAAGTTATCTAAGCTCTTATTAGTTTTACTTATTTCGGTATTTAATAGCCTAATAACTACTTTTACTATATAATTATAGTTCCTTATGCTATAAGAGCTATTCTAGCTTATTTTTATTACGTTATGTAAAAGCTTAGTAATATAGTCCTTAATAAACTTAATAAATAAGTAAAGAATATCTAATCCTTTTTAACTATTAAATAGATTAGTTATACTCTTAGCGAGAGCTTAGATAGTATTGCTCATCCGTAATAAAAGTTTAATAAAAAAGCTATATGTATAGTATATAACTAAATATAAACCTATTAAAATAGTAATAGGAGGGGAGAGTACTTAGTTAGAACTTTTAAAGCTAGTTTTTTTAAAAGAGTAACGACTAAAGAGAGATAAAGTCGTTTTAATTATAATTAGTAGTTATTACTTCTATTGAAATAGTAATGCGCATAAAGTCCTAGCTTATAGAGCTAGTAATACTATTTTGCTATTAGTATTTTATAATTTCTTTTATTTAAATAAGTAAAAGTTATAGCTCTTATAATCGTCTTTAATAGCTCTACGACCTCGTTTTCCCTAGCTAATAATAATATTACTATTTTATAAAGAGATAGAGGCGTAATTAGAGAGTAAAATAAGAAGTATAATAACCTCTATTTCGGAGTCTTTTACCCTATTTAACGGGATAATAAAAGCGTTAATTAAAAAACTAGGGGTAAAGCTTATTATAAAAGACGGACTCCCTATAAAGTTGGGTATTATAAAA